TGGCATTTAAGGGAAAAAACAAACAAACAAACAAAAAAAAAAAACTCAAAATTTAAAAAAAAAATAACAACAAAAAATATTATGGAAATTCATGAGAAAGTTCTTAAAGGTCATTAGTGTATACAAAGCATGGTACTAAACCTTTAAAATATTATAGACTTGAGAAACACAGCACAGTTAAATTCAGCTACAACATAGGGGAAAAGCTTTGTCTAGCAGATTACTTCTAAGCCATGGCTTGAAAAATGAGTAGCGTTTAGACAGACGGAAGGGGTGGCATCTCATCTCTGACTCGGAGAAGGATGTTAGAAATGGAGTGGGCATGTGCACACACAGGAGCTCAGTGAGGCTCGCTGGGAAAGGTGAGAAAACGCTGAAGAGGGGGGCTGGCACTAAGGGAGGCAAGGGGTAGCTTCTTTTCCTAGGTGAGAAATTCATGAAATAGTTTGAGGTAGAAGCAATATAAACTTACATATTTATTGTAACAGTTGGTTTTGGACTCATTCAGAAACTGGACTGAATGGATGAAGCATGTGATCTGTTTTAGGTGAGGATTCCGAGGATGATTCTGATTTTGGTGAGAGTGAAGATGATGATGAAGACCTCACTATGAGAAAAAGCAAAGTTAAAGAAATTAAAGAAATTAAAAAGAGGGAAGTGAAGGTAAAACCCCCAGTAGACAAGAAAGAAAAGAAATCTCAATCCAGACGTAATACTTTGGGTAAGCTTGTTCAAAATGCTTAATTTCATAAAGAAAATATATTAACTGCTGTTCTTTTCCTTCTCTTTACCTTTGATCTCCTTAACATTTTGCTAGTGTCCGCTTCTAGTGACAGTATTGACATGTAAAAGAAAGGGCGGGTGGGAAGGGCAAAACGCCTGTGTGAGCGCTTCCCATGCACAGCCTTGCTCGAGGGCCCTCAGCTGCCCTCTGAGGTTGCTCCTCTCACCCCCGTCACCTTACTGATCACCCCTCACCTTACTGATCACCCCTCACCTTACTGATCCCCCCTCACCTTACTGATCACCCCTTACCTTACTGATCACCCCTCACCTTACTGATCCCCCCTCACCTTACTGATCACCCCCTCACCTTACTGATCACCCCATCACCTTACTGATCACCCCTCACCTTACTGATCACCCCTCACCTTACTGATCACCCCTCACCTTACTGATCACCCCTCACCTTACTGATCACCCCTCACCTTACTGATCACCCCTCACCTTACTGATCACCCCTCACCTTACTGATCACCCCTCACCTTACTGATCACCCCTCACCTTACTGATCACCCCTCACCTTACTGATCACCCCT